GAAATGAGCTTACCTTTTCTTCTCCATTTGCAAAATAATCTTGGTGGATTCCTTACCCAAGGTCAGTTGCAAGATAATGATGGGAATAACTTCAATTTTCTTGTTGTTCCTGTTTCTTATGAACAAGAAGTATCTGATTTTCATTCCTTCAGAGACTTGAAGAAGTGAGGCGCCTAGATTTTAATGCTGAAATCATCCCTCCTTCCAAATTGAGGCTGGTGCTATGGATTAATTTAGTAACAAATTTGCATTTTTATCACTTTTCCAGTTTAGCTGTTGAACATTAATTCTGTATGAGGATTTTTTCCCCCTTCCAATTGTCTGGATACTTTATAATTGTTTGGCCAAAAGCTTTCTGCTGAGAGAACCTTGCACTGTGAAAAAGACCATTTCCGTCTTGATCTATTTTAGTCAGTTCCAGAGGAAAAAGAAAAATTTCTTGCTGGAGGACCTCTTGGCTTGTGACTCAGTGGCTGAATTAGACAAATGGATGAAGGACCAGTCTAATTTCTTCATCTGACAAATATTCCACGCTGTGGGCATTGCAACAGATTTTGCCTTCACCACTTTTCATTCACAGTTATTCTGTTCCCTGATGCACAGCTATCACTCTTCTGCTTCATTTGGAACTGGAATGGCAAGCGGGGAAGAGGTTGTGCAGAAATAGTTCTCCTTCTCACCCTTGCAGAGACTGTAAAGCCATCTGATTAGTATTTATCAGCGGGTGGCAATCTAAGTCCATGCTAGACCCTGTTATAAAAAGATGCATGAAAGATGGATGGGTCAGTTTGCAGAAGAAAAGGCCAAGCCCGCTGAGCCTCTCCCAGGGGGTGAAAGGTCATTAAGAGGTGGTGACATGTTTAAAAAGTGATAGCATTGGTTTAAAAAGGATCAATCAAGTGTATCCTGACCCCTTCTTTCTGTTTTGAAAGATGCTATCAGCGCCAATGCTGATCTGATTTTGGTAAGGTTACAGTTAGAAGAGAACGAAGCTGAAATGGAAAGGAGAATTCTTTGCATTGAAATGGACTACAGATCCTATTACTCTCAGCCAATGCTCCCTTTGCCTCTAATAGTTGAGAGTACTGATGTTCAACATATCTACAGAACTCATATCTGCCATTATTTTTGCTTCTCCCACAAGACCTGGTAGGATTAGCATGCTCTGGACGTCCTCAATTAAACAGTGTTTTCTGATGGGAGCCAAAAACTGTCCTTAGATCTGGCCTGTGGAAAAGAGTACCTGAAATTTGGATGACCACAATCCTTCCATAAGGCATCACAAATGGGCTTTTCATCTGGTCATTGGGTTGTAAAGTTAAGTTAGCCCATTTGGGAGGGGTTATTGATGAGAACATATGGACAGTTCCACTTGCAGGCAGTTTTGGGTTCTGGTTAATGTTTTTATTGTTGTTTTAATTTGTTGCTTGTTGCTCAGAATTGCATGCTGGTGGATAACCATATGAATCAAATAAATATATCCATAAATCAGGGTTGTCCATCCTTGGCAACTTTAAGACTTGTGGACTTCATCTCCTAGAATTCCCCAGCGAGCCATGCTGGGCGTTGAAGTCTACAAGTCTTAATGTTGCCAAGGGTGGACAACTCTGATTTATGGATCGAAATGATTGCCAAGGTTGGACATCCCTGATGTAAACCAAAGCCTCCCTAACAAACTCATCAAAAAGGACCCGAGCCATGTGACAGATTGTGTCATTTTGGGGAACTCAAGGAAGGGAACTGCATTTCTGAATCATTTACAGATATCTAGCTATAGATATCTACTCTTTGATGTACCCAGAAAACTAGGAGACTTGTTAAAATGAGCCACTTTCGTGATTCCCTAATAAACAGTGAGATGTTTATATTCGAAAATGCAATTGCCCTCTTAGGAGTGGTCTAGCTCAGCAAGTTGTCAATTCTACTAATCATATGACTTTTCCTTCAACTGATGAATGGGAAAGCATGAATGATTTACTCTTCGTTTAGAGAAGTATGAAAGACAACACTGCTTGTTGATGGATGCGCAGCCTAGTTCTCTATGCATTTGCTCCCAGATAAGTCCCACTTAGTTCAGGATGGATTTCCTTCCTTTTAAAAGGTCACCAGTGCATTTTTATGCATGTTCTTTTTAAATGGGGATGCGAGGGCTCAGCAGTTAAAGATGCTGAGCTTGTCAGTTGGAAAGCTGACAGTCCAGGTTTGAAACCTGAGCACCGCGCAATGGGGTGAGCTCCCATTCCTGCCTCAGCTCCTGCCCAACTGGACAAGGGAAACTTTACCTTTACCTTTTTCTTTTCAGATAAAACACTTCAATGGTACTGGTACCCAGGAAGGTGTGCATGCTTATACACACCTACTTGAGTACACTATAAACATGTAATGGATCACCCCTCTGATTACATTGGTGAAAGGCATATTGGCGCGTTTCTAGCATAGCATTGTCAATCTACTAATAAGCACCAGTTACTCCCTTCTGTTTGCACACCCAATCAAGTCAATTCAATTGACAGACAGGCATTTTCGGTTTGGTTTAGTTTGGTTTTGCATTCATTTTACAGATGTTTCTCAGATTATTGCAGGTGACAGAGAACAAATAACAAAAAAACTCACCGTTTTACATTCCTCAGAGCTTCCTCTGCTTTCAGTTTAGGACAATGGTGCAAAATTAGCTACCAAGTTACGCTTACCTGGCTTCTGATGAGCATCTGGGATGCCTTGATAGGAAATACTAATAGGAGAGACTTCTTTCAAATCAAGCAGACACTTTAATCTTGTGTGATTCCCCCCTCCCTCGCGATTTCGCGCTCTTTCCATTTTCCCCTAGTGTTCTGGTCTGGCAGTCTAGCTTTAAGGGGGTAGGTGAGCACGGGTGCACATGTTTAATTTGTGTACGTCCATGGCATGGCATTGGCACATTTATTATGTTAAAAGGGGGTCTTGTTTATTGATATGCAAATGCCAAGTGTGACGAGGGAGAAGGCAGCTGTGATGGCTTTTTAATTACCTAGGTGGTGAAGGGCGTGGGGTCCTAGACTTGCCATTAATGAGCTGTGACAGAAGTTCGCAGATGATGATGCACCAGCTATTTCACTAGCTTTTCCTCAACCAGCAAATGAGCAGCTTTGCTCTAGTTTTCATTTTTTTTAAAAAAAGCACAAAATGTTTTTTTTTAAAAAAGGCCAATGCTTATTCTGGAAGGATGCCAGTATGGAGAGTGGGAAGGGCTAAAAGCAGCCACAAGGGGAGCCCTGAAACCTGGGTGAGGATACACCTACTTGGGGGAAGAAGAGGTTGTTCTTGGTTAGTTTTCTGGACTCATGGATGTAAGAAAATGCATGTGGGAGATATGTAAAAATAAGAGGCAGGGGTTAAATTGTGTGCACTGCAGTGATTGTGGGTATCACTTTTTTTTAAAACACATGTGCGCACACAAACACATACACGGTGGGGATCCCTAATGGAAGATTTTTGGAATTAGACTAAATGTACAAGTTATGCATCTCTGGTGCAGGTCACTGTTGCACTAAGATATTCCTCATTATTTCTATAGGTTCAGAAAGCAATAAAGTAAATATTCCCCTAAGAGAAGTGAAAACAGGTATGTGTGTGTGTGTGTGTGTGTGTGTGTGAACTTTGATTGCTACAGCTACAGCCAAGTGAAAAAGCAAGCTATATTGTTTTGTATGAGGAATGCCTGAAGCTGCATGACAACATGACTTTCAAGTCTTCTAGTTCAATTCTGGACTGTCTTACAAGAGTAGTCAGGCAGAGGCATCTCCCAGTTCTGGATCAGAGATATTTTTCTGCAGGATATCAAAGGGAGATTTAATGTGGTCTCTGAGCTTGGTTGTTTTCTTGCAAACAATTCAATACCCAACTAGGTAACATCATCAGTGCTAGAAGGGAGTGAGATTTGTTCTCTGTTTATATACAAGGGAGTGTCCTTGGTTGGGAAGAGGAGATTTAATGGTTGGAAAGATATCAGCCCATGTAGCACTTCTTTAAATCTGTCCTGCCTCTGAGCAAGAGTGGATTCCAACAACTCAAGTTCTTGTTGTCTCTACTTTAGAAGTGAAACATCCACCCTTCTCCAAAAGTTGATCAGTACCTCTCCTTGCCTTCACAAAAGATTATGGGATGACAATAACCTACACCCCTAACTTGAGTGCTGTATCTCAGCCGGGTTCTATAGGCATAGTGAGGTCTCTGGAGATGGTGAGCATCTGATTGGTGATCCTTCTTCAGGAGGGCAACACCTCCTCCCGATCCTCTTCAAGGTCTGAGGTCTGTTATCAACTGCATGAAAAAGAAAGTGGATTCCTCCCATGCCTGTTGAATTCCGTGTGTCTTGTCAAGAGATCCGGAGATCCTCAATGTGGCATTTTTCAAACATAGCGTCCTGTTTGCCTCAGGATCTCTGTCGTGCTGGGCAGTCTACGCCAGCCATTCCCTCTTCTCTGTTAATTCCCTTCCACCGCTCGAGGGACGGCCGGTGGCTGATGGGCCAGAGGTGCCAATGTGTGTATGCGTGAGAGATAGTCCGCTGACTTCCACACAGGTGAGCCGCTGCAAGGCTCTCAAACGCGACAGTGTCCCAGTTTGCGTGGAAGATGCCCAGAGAGTTCGACACCCTTCCAGGGTTACTTACTCTCCTCCGGTGTTATAATAGGAACCGGAGGATGCCGGCTTCCAGTCGCCCCTCGTGTCCGAACCGAGAGTTGCCCGGCGAAGTTCCTCGGTGGGAACTCCTGCCGCTGCCCACCCGTGGGGAGAGAGGGCAGAACCCCAAGCGCGCCGCCGCGGTTTGGCAGCCAAACCCATCCAGCCTTTTACCTCCCACCCACCCCCCCCGCACACCCGCCCGGCCGCTCGCAGCCCCCACCCCGGGCTGGCGCCAACTCCTCCCCGTGCCCGGCCTCCAGCCGAGGCAAGTCGGTGTCTCTTTAAGCTCGAGAGAGGAGGGGAGGGGAGGGGAGGGAAGGGACCAGCCGGCTGACAATGGGCCGGGGCGGCTGAGTTGGAGCAAATTCCGCGTCGGAGGCGGCTTCCCAGCCCCAGCAGCTCCGAGGCGAGCCGCTTGGCCCCTCCGCTGGAGCGTCGGAGATGAAGGCGCGCTGGCGCTGAGTTGAGCGAGCGCGGCTCCGGGAAGCTTGGCTCTCCTCCCTGCTGGAAGCCGAGCGAGCCCCGCCGCCCTCTGGCTCCCGTGGCCGCCCCTGGGCTCTGGGAGGCCGGACCCCGAGGCAGCCCAGCCCAGCCGCCGCCCCGCTGCGCGAGAGGGGAGCCCGCTTTCCCTCTGCCGGATGCGTCCCTGGCGGAGCTGAGCCATGCGGCGGAGGCTCCCGCTCTGGGTTCGGAGCTTGCTGTGCCTCTGGCCGGTCCTGGTGGCACCCGCGGCAGGTAAGAGGCGCCGTCGACCCCGCTTCTCTCGCCCTCTCCCACCTTCCCTCCCAAAAGAGCCGCAGGGCGCAGGGACTGAAATGGACGGGGAAGCGCAGCGCCCGGGGCGCGGAGTGGGGAGCCTGGCGAGGCACCTTTTGAGGGGAGCCACTGAGCCCGGGGAGGAGAGTTCGGGAGTTTGGTGGCTCTCGGGGATCGCGTGGGAACAGAGCGAAGTCCTTGGCGAACCACGCGGGGTCTGTTCAGGGCTGGGCAAATGGGACGGGGGGGGGGTCAGTCGACCACCTCGCAGGCTCTACCCCGCGTGGCAAAGGTCGTAGCGCTTTCTCAGGAGCAGCGCAGGCAACAAAAGGCGATCCTATCTCGTGGATATGCAGCGGGGAGCGTCCTCTCTTTACCCCGGTCGCTCCCTCCGTTCCACCTTCGCCTCGGCCGGCTTGGGCGCAGCCAGGGAGCCCGTTCAACCCCGATCCACGCACCCAGGGAAGCTTTCTTGGCGAGATGTCCCCACACCCTCCCCAGAGCCAGTCCACCACCAACGGCTCGCTAGGCTCCAGCTTGACAACTAACACGTGTCTAAATGTCCTGCGGGTGGCAGGCAGGCAGGCAGGCAATGCCTTCTACAGTTGGTCTCCAGCGCGAAGGCGGCGGTGCGGGCTGCGGATCTGGGCAATCCGTTTTGGTGGCTTGGTGGCAGAAGCGGGCGGCGTGAAAGAAGGGTCCCGATTCTGTGGGGACGGGGGAGGTTCTGGGGGCAGCTGCTGAGCCCCCCCTCCCCGTGGCCTTTCACCCTCAGTCAAGCACCAGGCCCGCGTCTGCGGAGTCCGCCCAGGCTCAGCTCAGCCAGGGGCTCCTCTGCGTTCTCGGTTTCCTGAAGGGAACAGATGGGCCGGAGAGGGATGAAAAAAGGACCCGTGGGGTGGGGACGAGGGGTGGGGGGTTGCCTGGGAGAAGCTAGTTGCAGAGGCGAGGCAGTCAGCGGGAGGGAGGCTGACCTTTCGGGCCTCCCCCGATTTGTGGGGTCATCCAGCTCATCCCAATGAGTTGAGAAGCTGCTGCTTGTTTCTAGGCTAGAGCCTGCCTTGTAACTGTCGGTGGATGTTCTTGATTTGCTTCTCTCCTACTGAATGATCTCAGCAGCCTTTTCAGCAGGAAGTCAAAATCCGCACTAAGAGCCCCCTCCCCCCCAGACAGAAATCTGGCCGCTAGAGGAGGCTTGAGGATGCTCTTCAGAAAAGGGATGCAGCAGGAGCCTTTGGGAATCTGCTCTCCCGGGGCTGGGAAGGGAAAACAATTGTGGGTGTGTTGTTCCCAGCAAAAAGATCCTTTAGAAACAGCAATTCTGGGTTGGGTAAAAATAGAAGAGATTTCTCCAAATAGGAGATGTGAGCTAAAGTAAAGCCCAAAGCTTTGAATGGTGAGGATTGTGAGTGGTGGGGGTTTGGGGTTTTTTTTTTGTTTGGTTTTTTTTTTTTTAGTAAGGGAGAAGGTCTCTGCTGTTTTGAATTTGGACACATGTTTTGGGAGGATTCCTTCCAGCTTTGGGGAAGGATGAAATGGAGTTTTAGGTTTCCAATTCATTCTGATCAATCTGGATTTTATTACCAAGAATTTGGTTTGAGTGAGGTCGTTATTTGTTTTGCTTTTTGGCTGTGGCCACAACTTGAATGTCACAGGCCATTTGGTTGGGCGGGGAAAAATTTATGAGATTTTAGAATTTTATCTTCATAGGACGTGTGTGTCCCCCCCCCCCCGTTTCTCCATTTCAGCTCAAATATCTTAATAGGAATGTAAAATGCAGCTGCAGAAACTATCTTAGCAGGAGCAAATCTAGCATACAGTGCATAGCGGTGGGTGCCGTTACAGACAGAAGTCCTGTTTCAAGGGATGCTTTATTATACTAGAGTAGTGTGGTAAATCAGCAGGAGTTGCACTGTAGACCTCTTGCTGTTTCCCCTGCCATTGCTCTGCTTTCTTTGGGCGGAGGGGGGATATGAATCAAACTTGGAATACTTTAATCTGAAAAATATGGCTGTAGGAGAATTACAGTACTTACATCCACAACTAAGCCCAAAATTTCTGTGGTGAAGTGAAACATTTCTTAAGTGAATTTTACTCCATTTTATGACCTTCCTTGCCACCGTTGTTAAGTGAATCACTGCAGTTATTAATCTGGCTTCCCATCTGACTTTGCTTGTAAGAGCATCACAAAAGGGGATCGCGTGATCCCAGGATACTGCCGCCGTCATAAATATGAATCAGTTGCCAAGCATCCAAATTCTGATCACGTGACAGTGGGAATGCTGCAACAGTTATAAGCATGAAAAACAGTCATAAGTCATTTTTTCCAGTGCTGTTGTAACTTTGAAGGGTCACTAAATGAACTGTTGTAAGTGGAGGACTACCTGTAACAGGAAAGCAGGATGGATTAATTTTGGAAGTGTTTGAGGAATGATGGGGCTGATGTTTCATAGTGTGCTAAGAGCAGATGCCATTAATAGGGCTTCAAGGGGTCCAGAAGTCAGAAATAACATTGCTGAGTAGCCAGGATCAGTCACTAAACATCATGCATAAATCATTGTACGGGGTCCACAGACTGATAAAGACATTTCCCCCTTTTCTTTTGCTAAATTAAAGTCTGTCTAGAAAAAATATTTTTCCTTTCTAAAAATTTATGCAACATTCAATGCGAAGACCAATGCAAAGTTCAACGTACTTCTGCAGAATGAATAAGAGGGAAGACCTTATTTCCGTAAGAAGATTTCTTTGGGGACAGGATTTGCAGGCAACATTCTGGCTTGAGGGAGCATAGAAGATATTAACTTGGGGGCATCAGAAACTAGAGCTGCAGCCTTATTTATTCATGAGCTGTGCAGCCCACCTTTCCGCCAGGAGCTCAAGTTGATTACATATCCTCCAGTAGTGCTTCCCTGCACAAGTTTATTTGGCAGCACACTGGCTTCCCACTTATGTATTTTTAATCAAAGGGAGAGAGAAAGGGAGTGAGAGAAAAGGGAGAGACCCCCAAAGGATAACAGTCCCACTGAGAGGTATCAGCAGGCAGATTGATTCACACAGACACGAGGCAGCCTCTTCATGAAGAACTGGCACATAAAATTGTAACCCAAATTTTCAGACCCCAGTTAATCCTACTTCCTGATTGACATCCAAGCTATGTAAGAAGGAAATGTGTATTGGCAAATCCAGAATGTGTTGTGGAAATATACACTTAAAAGAGGACCATGCTGAAATGTTGACATACAGTATGAAGAAACTCTCCAATAGATGCTCTTGATGGCCTTTTGGATTGACTTGCTGCATCCCTTTGTTAGGAGAATTATGAGACATGTTTATGGAGAAGAGGCCTCCCAATGCTTTGAACACTGAGTTTTAGTATAATTATCTCTGAATACCAATTGCTAAATAGAGTGAAAAATGGGCTACATGTACCATATTTTTCGGACTATAAGTTGCACCGGTGTATAAGATGCACCAAGATTTCAAAGAGGTAAGTAAGAAAAAAATGGTTTTTGCCCTCCCTGGCCCCCAGGAGCACTCTGCAAGCCTCCCAAATCCTCTGCGCGCCCCGTTTTTTGCAAAAACTGGGAAAAAACAGGCCCATTTTTGCAAAAACGGGGTGCACAGAGGGTTTGGGAGGCCTGCAGAGTGCTCCTGGGGGTGGGGGGGCAAAAATGCCCCCATTTTTTCAAAAAACAGGCAAAAAACAGGCCCATTTTTCGCAAAAATGGCATTTTTGCCCTCCCCAGCCCCCAGGAGCACTCTGCAGGCCTCCCAAACCCTCTTTTGCAAAAATGGGATGAGTGGGGCGGGACTTTGGGAGGCCAAAAATGGCTGTAATTGGTGTATAAGATACACCAATATTTCCACCCTCTTTTGGGGAGAGGGAAGTAGGTCTCCGAAAAATATGGTATGTGCCTGCATATATAGATAGTCGTCTACTTACGATCACAATTTGGATCAGAATTTCCATTGCTAAGCTGGGTTGTTAAGTGAGTCATGCCCAATTGTCAATCTTTTTGGCCAGGGTTGTTAAGGGAATCGCTGCAGCGGTTATAGGAATCATGCAGTCGTTAAGTGAATCCAGTTTTTCCCATTGACTTTGATTGTCAGAAGGTTGCAAATGGAGATCATGTGACCCCGGGACAGTGCAACCATTGTAAATATGTCCTGTAGCCAAGTGCCTAAATTTTGATCACATGGCCATGGGGATGCTGCAATGGTTGTAACTGCGAGGACCAGTCCTAAGTCTTTTTTCAGTGCCGTTGTAACTTTGAATGTTCACTAAAAAACTAATTGTAAATTGAGGACTATCTGTATATACCAGGGGTCTCCAACCTTGGCAACTTTAAGATTTGTGGACTTCAACTTCCAGAGTGCCTCAGCCAGGCGTTGAAGTCCACAAGTCTTAAAGTTTTGCTGGCTGAGGAATTCTGGGAGTTGAAGTCTAAAAGTCTTAAAGTTGCCAAGATTGGAGACCCTGGTATATAGTAACTCTCATTTCCTGAGCTACAAACATTCCCCTTTACTGTTCCTGTTACTAAAATAACAGGTTGGTGCTGGCTGGGGAATTCTGGGAGCCCTCACACATCTTAAAGTTGCCAAGTTTTTTTTTTGTTGTTGTTGTTGTTTTTAAACCCTGCTCTAGACTTTATGGAGGCATTGATGTTGCAGGGAGAAGAAAAAACAATATTCCCCAATCTTGGCACCTGCAGATTAGTGGGATTCCAGCCCCCATCAGCCCCCGCTAATCTGATCCACAAATCAGCGATTGGGGTATTTTGATCAGACTGTGGTACCCTGTTTGAGAAGTGCGCCTGGCATTTGAAATAGTTAATTATCATTTTTTGATGGGAGAGAGATGGGAAGGGTGAGTTTAGATGAGAGGGTATCTATATTAAAAACAGCTATCCCTCCCTCGAGATTTGTAAGGTTGCTACCTTGATAATATTCCGAAAGTCCCTAAAAACCTGGCTCTCCTC